CAAAAAGAGAGAGAACTGTCCTTAGCAGAACCAGTGTGGTTTAAGTAGAGAGTAAGAAAGCTTAGGTTCTTAATATATGCTATCAAAAGTAGATTTCTTAGCTGAATAAATAAGGTAGATAAGATGGTTTCTATCATGTATCCTTGGCCAGTGGGGGCCCCTAGTTAGGGTATGACTTGAGCTGACTGATAATGATGTGCTACAGGTTAGATAGTGTTAGGTGCTGACAATATCTGGTAATGATTGATAAGAGTTGGAACAATGCTCAGTTTTACTTTTCTCAGTTCATATTAAAGGCTAGGAGTGTAGAGAAAGTCCTTATCTTTTTTTTTTTTTTTCTGTAGCTAGAAATATCTCCCCTGCTCTTGGCATAGTCCTTAAGGTATTGAGAATGACATTCATTCTTTGGTTCCAAAGCAATAATTGCGCCAGCAAGATGGGTCTCATTTTATGTTTGTATTCGGTCCTTTCTTTAGAACTTATATATTTTTTCGGTCCTTTCCTCAAGTGTTGCTCCTTTGAGGCTGTGAGTTTATAAGTCTGCACTTCCTTACACAATTGCACTGAAAGGTGAGTTTAACCCTGACTCTAAATATAGTAATGCTCACCCAGAAGGCATTTGGAAAAACTAAAATCCCTGTACTTGCCTGAGCTACCTTGGGCCTCAGAGCTCCTTCATCCACTTCCTGCTACTGTGCTGGGAGCCTTGGTTTTACCAGCCCTACTATTCTGCTTCTAGGCTCGAGGACAGTGCCTAGATTTTAGTGATTTTTTAAAATTGTTGCTTGTTTTGCTTGTTGCGGTGTTGCTTCTTGGCTGAAAGTTCACGGGAATCTTCAGTGGACAAGGAATAGCAGAATTTGCAAATCTGTAGATATGTCCATACTTTAAGAGAACTCTAAGCTGAAATGCCTGTCAATCTTGAAACCAAATTTTCCAGTCGCTTCAGTGATTTAGATTTATGTGAGTTTCAAGGGCTTCAATAAGTTGGTTAATCCTCATTTAATAGGCCCTGAGAGATGAAGTGATTTGCCATGGATGACCCAGCAAGTCAGCTGCATATTCATTTATTATTTATCTAAAACCCAACTCCACAAAAGAAAAAGAAAAAAGAAAAAAGAAAAAAAAACTAAACTAAAACTCCTAAGTCGTGACATTGCTTCTGATCAATTGGCATCTTTGTTTTCTTAACTCCACAATTACATATGTTCCTACTTTCCCATTCAAAGGTTGGTTGAGGGATATTAATGGACAGGTGATGGACTGTCTAGGATGAGAGAGAAATAAGGCTGCTGTTTCTGAACTGTAGTATGTCTTGGTGATTAGTCTGGTAATATATCATGTACGGCTGAAAAACAAACAAAAACCACTGACATTAAAAGATCCTAATTTTTTCTCTATTGTCTCTGTTGATCTGTTCCTATTGAATTTTCTTCTCACATTCATTACAATTAGTTTTAAATTATCTTGACATCATTTTCTATACTGTAAAGAAAAATTTCCCTAACTTTTCAGTTTAAGGTAAAAGCCTTTTGAGGATATATGTGATATGATCATCTTGGTAGATTAAAAACAGAAAGAGAGAAAGTTTGATCTAGTTACACAGCAACAATAAATAGTAATTTCTATTAAAAAGCACACTCTAAAAGGAAAGAAATATGTCCATTTAGAGGAGTAAAGAGAAAAACTATGTTTTTAGTTGTCTGTTTTACAAGTGGCCTTTGGCAAGCATACCAAACTATTATGGGTTTTACTAATGTGGACTTGATACTGGCAAATCTTCACACTCAGAAGATACTCTCTGATGAGCCATCTATAGGTGAAACCATCACTTCACACGCCAATGAAGGCAACGATTTTAGAAATTTGTACTTATGGCTGGCTCAGCTTGCCTTTCTCAGAGGAGTCGATTTTGCTTTCTCTGGAAATGCCCCACTCTCCACATCACACTTGCCTGACAAAAACTCCAACCCCAGCTAAATCCAGCTCTCTGCCTTCTCCATGTGCACAGCACAGAGTGACTGGTCCTCCTCCAAGTTCATGACCACAGAACTTTAAGGGGCCTGCTGTGCTGCACGATGCTCAAGTCCATGAACTCCCAACACCTCTCTCAGCTGATGACTTGGCCTCGTCTTTCACTGAGAAGACAGAATTGGTTAGAATAGAACTTCCACAAACTGCCAACCACCGTATCTACCTCCTACGGGCACCTGGGGCACTCTTCTCTGCCTTGCCCCTGGTGACCTCTCCCGTTCCTGTCTGAGAGCATCTCCTGGATTGATCTTATCCTCTCTTGCCTACTCAGAGATATTAACTCCATCACCTCTTCCTTCTCTTTCTTACAGGCCCTACTCTTCCCCTCTCTACTGGATTTTTCTCATCAACATATAAATATACTGTTTAATCTCCCAACCTAAAAATACAACAGGAAACAAACCTTTCAACCCTATGCTTATCCATCCCCCAGCTATCACCCCCTCCCTTTCTTTTACTTCCCTTTCTAGCCAAAATTTTTTAAGAGAGATGGAGCATCCAACTTCCTCTTCTCCCATTCTTTCCTGAACCTACTCCGGTGAGGCTTTGCCCACACTGTGCCGGGGAGATAGCACTTGATAAACTTTCCATTGACTTCCAACTGCCTAAATCAAATGGTCAATTCTCAGTCCTCATCTCGCTTGACTTTCCAGCATCATTTAACACAGTCTGTAGATCCTCATCTTTGAAACTCTTTTCTCACATCCTCAACCTCTAAAGTTAGAAGTGCTCCAGGACTCAATCCTTACACAACTTCTTTTCTATGTAACACTCATTCTGTGATCTCCACTCTTGTGCTTTTAAATTCCATCTACATGGTAATGACTCCAGCCCAGACCTCTTCCCTGAACTTGAGACTCTTATATCCAGATGACTATATAAATTCTCTACTTGGTTAAAGAATTTAGTATGCCCAAATCAAGCTAATTTCCTCCAAAATCTGTTTTTCCTATAGTCTTCCCCAATCAGTAAATGAAATCTCCCTTTCAAGCTAAAATCCTATGAATCATCCTTGACTTTTCTCATTCTCTGCTATCGATATCCAACCCATCAGCGAATGCGATTGGTCTATCTTCAAAATAGATCCTGGATCCAAACACTTCTCATCACCTTCACTGTTACCGCCCTGGTCCAAGGTACCACCAGGCCTTGCCTAGGTTATTGCAATACTTACCTGGTCTTCCTGCTTTCACCCTTGTCTCACTACAGTCTGTTCTTAACAAAGCAGCCAGAATGATCCTACTGTAAATCAGATCATGTCACTCCTCTGCTACAAATCCTCTAATGAGTGCAAGAGAGGTCCTTTTAATGGCCTCCAGGTCTTACATGAGCTGGTCCCTTCCATTCGATCTCACCTGTGGCATACTCCCCTCATCACTCAGTTCAGCCACTCTAGCCCCACTGAGATTTCTCCAGCCCATCAGCTACATTGCTTCTTCAATCGCCTCTGCCTGAAATGCTCTTCCCTCATGGAAGCATGGCTCACTCTCGCTTCCCTTAGGCCTCTGCTCCAATGTCACTTCTGCTCAAATTAGAGGGACCTTATTTAGACTATATCCGTAGTAATTCTGAATATACCCTGGGTTCCCTTTTTCCTACTTATCTCCATAGCACTTACCACCATTGGATGCATAGTTACTTGTTTATTAGTTTACTGTCTTCTCTTCTCTCACTAGAATTAGTCTCTGTGAGGGCAGCTACATGGTGTTTTTTGTTCACGGCTGTATCTTCAGTCCCTAATACAATACCTGGCCCCATTGCAGGTATTCAACTATTTATTGAATGAATAAAATGCAGCGACAACTCTCACCATGAAATTAGAAATTCACATCAATCAAATCTAAGAATCTTGTAGCACAAGTTACTTTTCAGTTTTTCTTACCCATTGCTTCACACTGCTGAGTTGTGCCATGTAGTAATGTAAAAACTGCGTTGTCTTTTCCCACATCACATAAGAGCTGCCAAGAAAAGCTAAATCCCAGATGGGTCTCAGAGAGGGATCAATATGACCATGACTATCTGAGAGGAAAAAAAAAATTGTATTAAGGCATTTTGGGGACGAAATTTCAGAAGTTTCAGTCATGAAATAAGGGCTTACGTTTAGTCACATCAGGCATCTTTTTCACGGCAAGACCTTCAGCAAGATTTGTGTGTGTCTACACTTTATAGAGATTTATATGCTTCAACCTGCCTTGCTAAATAAAGCCACTATAAAACAGTTCCAGGGCTATTTGCTATACTATATAAATGCAAAGTAAGAGTTATAATAATACTCAAAGTTATTCTCAAATCTTGTTAGCTGAGGCATTTTATAATTACATTGAAACATCTATCCGTTATCTTCACCACATTACCTTCTGGTTTGGGTCTATGGTCAAAGTGATGGTCTTTGTCCTTCTCTGACCTTTGGCGTTAAAGCTAATCAATGTATTAACAGCATCTCTACCACTTTTTTTGAACCATGAAGAAATCAAGTGTTGTTTTTTTTTTTTTTCCTGTGGTATTGTTTTTGGACCTGCGATCTTTTCAATTCAGCAAACATTTGTACAAAAACGAAATTCGAAAACAAAAAAACAAAAACAAAAAAAAACCCTACTTAATATCAGCTACTGCTGGAAGTAAGGACACAGTGATTAATAAACGATCTCTTGTGACTTTAAGGAACTCAAATATTAGCACGTAATTTATGAGGTAACTATTCATGGACTTGTGAGAAGATAAGTTAGTTATACTAAATACTAGAAGGACATTTGAAAGTATAAATGCTGGTGGCACTGCTCTAGAGTCAGGCGACAGGACGTTAGCCCGCTGTTCCCTGGTCCTCAGTATTTCCTTTTGTATGTAGTATGCTTGGGCTCATCAATAGGAAGTTTATTTCATTAGAAAAAGTAAAATTTATACTCATAAAAGCCAGACAACTTTTTTTGTTTTTTTAGGGGAAAAACAGTGTGGAGCAAGGATATCCCAAAACGGATTAGAGTATCTCACTTATTGATTGTAGAGAAACTGTACTGCAATGGTCCCCTGCCTTGGACTGATTGAATCCACTGAGATTTTAACCCAGAAGGAATGGCCACAGTTTTGATTCACTTTTATCTAAAACCAAACCTTTTCGGTTTTAAGAAGATAATTTTATATACAGAGACAAGCTAAAAATAACACCATTAAATGTCTCCACTGAATTTAAAGTGACGAGAGAACTTTTGTTGATGAAAAAATGCCTTTTATTGAAAAAATGTTTTTGAAGCTTTAGAGTAGCCACATTGTTAGGTTGTCGTGGAATGACCCTTGTAGGCATTGAGGACTGATTAACTGAACATGATCCAGTTAACCTGCACTATCAAAAAGTGTCCCAAATCTAATGATCCTGTGGCAAATATTCAAAGAAAAGCTCCTATACAATTTCTAAAATATGTGTTTTAAGGAGACTATATATATATAAAACCCTATTTCTCCAATTAATGCTAAGGGGAGAAAAAAATCCAAAAATAACTATAAATTTTAAGTATTCATCATTAGCCCATTTATTTCAGGCAGTGCTCAATATAAACAAATTCTATAATATAAGATTTTGAATTGTTCTTCATAATTATTTGAAGCAAGATTTAATCTGAGTCATAAGAGAGCTATAATGAGACTTATCCAAGCTTCTGAGTTTTAGAAACACAAGGAGCAGCATTCCACCCCCAGTTTATTGAGACCACTTAGTCTGCATAGTTGATGGTGCACAGGTGCACTCAGGAGTGGAGACCATAGGTCTCCCCATGTTGACATGGATCTGTCCAGTCTCTGGGCAAATGAGTGAACTGTGGGATGGGAAGAGCTGTAGCAGTCAGATGTCAAGCTTAATACCCAAGTGCAAGTCCAGAGATGACTTTTGTGGTTTTGAAAATTGGATTTGCCGGTAAGTGCGAGTCTCAACGGCTGCCCACACACTCTGCTGAGTGCCAGAACGAATGAGCCCTGCTTCGCTTCAGCTGAGTCACTGCAAAGGTCAGAGCTCATTCCACATCAAATGGCACCACTGCCTGTTAGCTCTGGACCTAAAATAAGATAAACTTGACTCCACTGCAGCCTCCCAGCAAGGCACCGAGACAGTTGGCTAGCTCGTCTCTGGTGCAGAAGGCTGTGATGGGCACAGTGGAGGCCCTAGATGGTTATCTTATCACCTCGAGTTTTTAAAGCCACCACCAGAAACCTCTAGAAATGTCTTCTCAGGTTCTGCATTCAACCCAGAAAACTGCACTCATTCATGCATGTCCTATTACAAAGACCTCCATCCATTCCTCGAAGATTCACCTCTTGCCTGGCCCTCATCTGGGATGGGAAGTGGGGAGATTAAAAAGGTACAGATACGACATTGCACTGAAGGCAAAGAACAGGAAAATGATTCTTCTGAGTTTTGTTTAAATAATGAGGTCTACCACATTCTACAGTTGGATTAAAGTGCCATTTGTGGGATAAAAATTTTAATGATCGTTCTTTTTAAGATTTAGTAATTACATATGTTCCTGAATATAGAATTTCCAGATACTGGTTCATACCGGGTATGCCGACTACATCCAAGGGGTTTTTGAGTCGCTTCATGTGCTGGTACAGCAGGTGATCCTCTTGCTGTCTTCTGCTCTTCTCAATGAACCGTGTACAAGTGACATTAACGGCAGGTCTGGGTTTCTCATTCCTGAAAAACACTTGAGCAGAACAATTCCCCAAACGTTCTTCACCTTCCTGAAATAAAGACGAGGGATCAAATAGATTGGTTTAAATAGAATTAAATAGATTTCTTCCTTATCCCTCCCCACCCCACCAGTACATAAACTAAAGACACACAAGGCAGAAGTTCCTTGTACGTGGCCGGTACGCGCTGGCATCGATAGATGTCGTGGTCTTTGCTTTGTAGAAAGTGATTTTTGTGCTCATAGCTGAGCACGATAGTCCTTCACTCTTTGCTGTCACTTAAACTGCTTTCTGATGGTGCCCTTATAAAATAATGATGGGCTTATTTCAAAGAAACACCATCGATATCTCTTAAGCATTGCTTGGTCTGAACTAGGATGGTGGGTCCACCACTTTGCACCAACATAATGCTCAGACTTGCTAACTCGAACCAAAGATGAAGCTGGTTCCTATTAACAAAAACGACATCTTCATGCTCACTTGTAAACTTGGTCTTATTCCAATTTTACAGATTAAGACAATAAAGTTAAAGAGGAGCCTGCTCCATGTCTCACATTAGTAAGTGGGAAGCCGGTACTTGAGCTCATGTCTGTCTGACATCAAAGTGCTAACTCCATTTCTGCTCTCAGATCTAACCTGGAGGACGTGGAGGCAGAGGTCACCCAAGTGGGGCTGATTTAACTATCTCAGTGACCAAGAGATGTTTGTTTGCTTTAACATCCAAATGTACATGTACTGAGAATCCTGACATCGCCCTTAAATTCCAATCCAGGGACATCTGGAGCTGGACAGGAGATGCTTCAAGCAGACATCAAATGTATGACTCATTTCTAGGACAGGGTTTCCCCATCCCTTAAGAAAGGTCACATATTCCTTAACCTGACCATAAAAGCCAGGGAACCTATTCCGAGGAAAATTGTACAGGTCAGTCATTTAAACTGGGTAAAGTCCCAATTAAAACGACGACCAAAAATAAACTTTAAAAGCCCACAAGGAAACAAACTGTAATCAGAATTGGGTCTGTGTATTAAGCCCATTTCTAGAACTAACTCAAAAAAAAACTGAAATCGCCTTTCCAACGGGCAACCCCCGCCCCCCACCACCACCACCCAGTGCCTGTTTTGAATTTTGAAGGAGGGGCAATTTTAGCAGTACAATCCTAATGGTGCTGCATAGAGAAAGAGGTGAAGGGAGCATCAGAAAGAGGCTTATCAAAGGCAGAAGACGGGGCTGGTTGCTACGCATTCTCCTTTGATGTCAAAGCCATTTCCAGGGACGAGAAAACCAGGTATCTCCCCCTTTTGTTTTCCCTTCCTCCCCCCTCCCCAGTCAGCGCCACAGAATCAAAGCGGTCGTCTGAAGATGAAACAACCCCCTCGCCCTGGAAATGGAACATTGCAATTAGCTAGCTGTGCTCTTCAGAAAAACATGTTTTTGGTCAAAGTAATCTAGTAACTGTTTTCCCTTTGGTTTTAATCTAACACTTTTAGTTTGCGACACTAGAAATCAAAACCATCTTTCTTATGCTTTAAGGACATTTTTAATTCTTAGGTTAATTAGCGAAGTCAGAGTATATTATTGTCTTGTTAGGACTTGTTTCCGAGCACTGGGTAAGCACTCTTTCTACCAGCGGCACTGGGCTCAGGGGTCAGAGCTTGCCCTCCCCGCCGCCCACCCCCAACCCTGCCACCAGGAGACATTTCAATGCTGGATGTGGGATGTGGCCTGCTCATCCCTTCTGCTCAGCCCCACACAGAGAATTCAGGCTGGTCTCTGCTCCCCTTACTTGGCTGCCTCCCAGCTTCGCCCAGCACACGGAAATTCATCTGGCTCTAATTTCTGTATGGATTTTCTGTTTACTCTCTTCTTGAGAACAGAGAAAAGGAAATTGGCACACCATGGCCCACCTCATCAGAACCGTAGCAAAATAAATGATGCCTGTGGCATGCGTTGGTCCTGCTCTGCTTTATAGAATGCTTCTATGTACGGAAGCTTCTGGAAGTGGTCTCATGCTATGCCCTCCTGCTAACAAGAAATGTCACCAGCTGACGGGAAGAGGAACAGGTTGGCATTTGAGATTGAGTTGTTAGGTGTTAGGGAGGGGTACCAAAGGGAGCTGTGAAATTCCCTCCCGGGCGAAGGAAGAAGGAAGTGATGGCTACGTGGGCTGTTTTAAATGCAACCCTGCAGAAGGCCATGATGTCGAGAAAGTGAAATCTTGAGTTCTTGCCTAGCTCTGTTGCTCAGTTCTTGAAAACAAAAAGGAAACAAAGACGGACAAAAACAAAACGAAACCTATAGGTCACTAAACAGTAACATTCTCACTTTTTAAAAAATAAATGCATACGAGTTGCTAATAGGATACTTCGTGAATTACAGCAGCTTACCTCTGGGTTATAGCATTCTGTGGTGAACGTCAGGTCAACTTTACATTCTTTCTTTGAATTAATCTGGAATATAGAAATTGAGTCTTAGCTAGTGGACGCTCTGCTAACATCTTCATAGCCAAGAACCACACTCTTGGGATAACATGACACGCAAACGGAAGCTGCAGCATTTACACCTAAAAAAAGTGCTGTTTTAGAAGGGGGAAAGATCTCATAGTTTGGTCTGATCATGCCATTTCGCCTGCTAGTTGACACCTACTCACAAAGCGGGAGGTTGAGAAAGGCAAACAGTTGTCTTGCGGCTGGAAGTTGATTCTGAGAGAGCAGCAGGCTGGGAAATGGACATATGTATGCAGGGCCGTGGAGTCCCTTCGCTCCCCAGCTGTTCATTGCCTCTGCGTGCCGTGCTTGGCCCTGGGCTGCTTCAGTCAGGGAGACAGACTTTCCCCGTGCTGCTCACGTAGAACAGGGGAGCCGGCAACGAAGGTAGTAAATCATGGTTTTTTAGGTGGTGATAAGTGAAGAGAGGGGTTGGGGCAGAAGTGTCTACTTCCATTAAGGTGGTGAGGAGGAAGGACTGTTCCATGATGTGACCGCTGTCCTCCCAGACTGAGAGCTAGACCTGGGCCAGAGCAGAGGTCGCTTCCCGTAAGTCCCCCGAGAGCCGATCACTTTCCCGGCAGCAGCTGGTTCCTGGAATAGGCTGTTGCCCTGAGCGAGCACACAGGCGGTTTCCCTTAACTGTAACGAGCCACTGCTCCGGTCCCCTCCATCCTGCCCTGTTCTGTACAGTTCTTCAGCACCTGCCAAGTGGCGTGGAGGATATGCACTTTGTCTTGCCAACGCCTAAGACTTCTTCCCTTAGAAAACTCTGTCAGTTGCCAGACGGGAGTGGCCTGCCCCTTTCTTCGCTCTTTCCTCGCCCTCATCTTTTGGAGATAGATTTTGGAAGGCGCCTGGGGGAGGAGATTTCAGCTGAGATCTAAAGGACAGTAGGGAACCAGGTGTAGCAGGTGGGACCTACAAGTGAGGCCCAAGGTGGGACTGGCCCACAGACCTGTCGACCGACAGGGACAGGATGAATTACCAGCAGTGAAAGAAGTCCTCAGTTGTCAGGGTCCCTCCTCCCCATGAAGCTTTCACAGGCAGGTATACTTCTAAACTTTGGAAATGCTTATTAAGCCTTTTTAAACTTTTGAATTGATTCCCATGCATATTTTTAGAGTATACACACCCATATCCTAAAGCAATTTAAACTGTTTAGAAGAACTTTATATTATTTGCCATCATCTTTTTCTTTTTCTTTAAAGAACATAATGATCATTCAGTACGAGGAGTATTTTCTAGAGAAGAGAACTTTCTGCTGCATGAAGCTGAAGTTATTTCATATCATCTTAATTAAGTTAGACTCTGGAGATATCAATTTCCGTTGACTGTTAGCCCAGGAAAACAATAACCAAAGAGGATTATCTTAAATAGACCAGATATCATCCATTCCTGTTATTCTTAAAAAGTTCTGGGAAACTGGAGAATGGAGAGATTGGATTCCCGTGGCAGTTGTTTATGTAGAGAATACTTAAACACGTGAATGTAGAGATGTTGTAGGGTGTTGGGCG